TAACGGCGGTACATGTATTCCGTTACTCCCCAACACTGATAATACTGTACATCTGCAGGATGTAAATGGGAGCAAAAGTTTATTTAATAAGGACATAAAAGTGGACTTGGCTCAAAGTGGCCATTCAAAATGGAAAGAAATAGATGACCACGAGAGAAAGATGGACAGCAGGAAAACCACAGTGCTTATCTCAATGTGTCCCTCAGATCCTGAAGAAGTCCTGTATCGAGATCCTGGCAGCAGAACCATCCAGTATCTGTGCAGGAGGTAAAACTTTACTCTAGTTCACCTTCCTCAGACCACTCATTATAATATTAGGATTTTCTTAAGATGGGGAATGAATTTGAGTATGCCGAAAAGTCTTTTCCTAGAGCGCATTTACCTTCTAGGATGGTATATTTGTATCACAAGCTTTCAAGCAGTCATCATGGCCAGGGATATCATGAATCGAAATCTATCAGTTGAGAGCTTTTAATGAAGTCTTCTTTTTCCAGAGTGTAATAATTGTACGGCTTACGTCTTTAATGAATTTAAAAACAAAACAAAACAAGAATTGGGTGTTTCATTTTTTTTCAGGGTCACAAATATGCATAAAGCCTCATTTACATACGCCAACACTAATATTTGATTAAATGTCCCAAACTGTATCTGGCAAGACACTTTTGGTAGCCATCAGTGAGTTTCTGGAGTAATTCTGTCTGGATATTTTACCACTCTTCTTGGCAGACTTGGTAGATTTCATTTAAATCTGTTGGTTTCCCGGCACAGACCTGGTTCATAATTTTTCAATCGGGTTGACGTCAGAACGTGGGGAAGGACATTCAAGAAGCTTAATGTTAGGGATATTTGTTTGGGATCATTGTCCTATTGGGAAAAAAAGTTTTGGAGGTAGTCCTCCTTCATTTTACTATCTATTTTGTTCATCAGTACCACTGGCAGCAAACAGCCCCAGAGCATGATGCTACCACTACCATGCTTGACAGCTGGTTTAGTTGTCTTGAAAGTCTCACGTTTACAACTCCAAACATTTCTTGGTCAGCACCCTCTAAATCTATTGGCGATGTGAAACTCCCTTTACTGGGATAGTGAAAAAGGTTTTTGTCGTGTAGTTTCCAGTTCATGGAACTCTTGGATCTTCCTGAACGCCATTTTCCTCTCATCTGAGGGGAATCCACACTTGACCCTGTGTGGATTAGAGAAAATCCAACTTGCACACCCAGTTCTTGTTTTAAACTAATTTCCCCTGGAAAAAGAACTGTTGAAAGAAATTATTAAAAGCTCCAAATTTCCACGACATTCATGCTCAACACGAGTGTATGTAAACTGCTGCTTGGGATTACTTTGGACCAAAGAAGATGAAATAACTTCATTTATTTTCAATAATATTTTATAGATGAGGTGACATAATGTGCTTCTCTTCGCCTTGTCAGAGTCCTTCCAAGTGGTGGTGAGAGGAAGTGGATTCCTTCACGCCCGAAATGTTGACAAAGTGCTGTGCAGCTTTCGAATCAACGACACCCTAACTAAGAGTAAGTGAAGCATTGCTTATCAGGGTGTTACCCCTTATTCACTGCATGAGCTATTTTATTACCATATAACATCATATCTGATTATGCTGTTAAACTATGACAAAGACGGCTGGAAAACACAGATGAGTGTGTGAGACGTTGTGAAATTCACCTAAATTACACCGGCCTGATTTTCCCAAAAGACAAACACTACGTGAGCCACACCGCTGGAGTCCTCGATGATCAAATGAGCAGCCAGGTTTTATTTATGCATTTTTTTAAACACATGGTGTAATGTTACAGTCTGGAATCAAGGTAAAAATTAAAACAGGAGATTAAGGAGAACCTGTACCACACACAAAGGAAATATCTTTAAAGTGGCTTACAGTAACGCTTCCTACTTCACAAGCCACTGCAGCTGCATGAGGTGACGGTCTAATTACAAAGCAGGACAATAACCAGCATTTACATAGAATGAAATGTGTGCTCCGCGGAAGTAAGACCACTGTGACCGTTTCTACTTTCATTGTTTTTACTGTTTAAATCTACAAATTCACTGAGATGATTTTCTGGAGCTTGGATTTGAATTCTAATTGTTTTTGCATGATATTATCTAACGTCCTGTAAAACTGATGACATGGAAGCAATTTGAGCAAAATTATCTCCTCATGTCAATCCCATTATACGTGGAGGTTCTTCCTCCACATTCATTCACTCCTCTAGAACCTTTGCACACAGACTTCTGGACTTTGTTTACTTTACATCAGCAGTAAGCTTTCAATGAAAAATAATATTGTCACAGTTAGCTTTCAGAGAGACGAATGTATCATTTCTTGAGAAATAATTGCTCCTTCTGATTCCTGCTCTCAGCCCTCTGCTTACTTTACAAGTCTGGAAAAGTGTATAAAAGGAAAGCAACAACATGCAACTACATGTGTCAAGCAGATGAATCCATGTTTGGGATTTTATCCCCAGGAAAAAGTAGCAGCAAGTATAGCCAGGCGTGCAGGGATTTGGCAGTTCCTGTCCTGAGCTATTCATTGTTTTTGTGACAGATGTTGTACTGGACAACTGTGGGAAGGGTGAAAGAAGAGACAAGAAGAAATTAACACGGTTAGATGAAACGATCCACACAAGTCCTGTGTCTGTTTGATAAACTTGAAGCTACGGCTAATCTGGACCTGTCGACATGTGACCAAATCCACTCAACAGCACTTTTAAAGCTGACAGTTTGAGTCATAGCATGACACTGAATAAATGTGGTTTATGTCACACCGTTGATATAATATAAGACATTAAGGTTCAAGGTTACTTTATTTATACCTGTAGGTAAATTTGCTGTACAGAAAAAATTATTGCATTTGGCATCCCCTCACAAAACACACATTAAACCCGACAAACACATATTTGATAATTTGACAAGTGATAAAAAAAAAACAATATAAATAAGTTCAAGATTAATTCAATAAAACAGTTTTTATTGAGTTCAGTGACAGCAGCAGGGACAAAGCTGTTTTTATAACTCTTTGACCCACACTTTGGGACTAGAAACCTCCATCCAGAGGAGAGAAGCTGAAATTCACCCCATAAATGATGGGAGCCATTATTAAAGATTTATAAAGCCATTCCTCTGTAGCTGTTTAGAGCACAGGGAAGCCAGACAGGGCCATGACTCACATATAAGACGACTGGAGTGTCTCACTATCTGATTCAGTGAGCTTTTCTCTGTGACAGAGGTCTAACCGAACCATGCCACCAAACAAAAAGATACAACAAACTCAATAAAAGAACGATTGTTCGGTCAATGTGGAAATGAGCAAATTTCCTAAGGCACTAAATGCGCTGGTGACCCTTTAATTAAAGTGACTCCATGCCCATTTTGTTGCTTCCTAAAATCAAGAGCCATATCTTCTGTTTTAGATATGTTCAGTTGGAGTTAAGACTCCTCACGCCACTGAACAAAGTCATCAATAACTAGACTGTGTGTAGTTTCACCCTCTTTAAGTAAGCTGGCAATAACAGAGTCATCTGCGTATTTAATGATGGCCCCGTTTTCATATCTGCTCTGACACATGTTTGTATAGAGAATGAATAATAAGCACGATAACAAACGCTCTTGGGGAAAACCTGTAGAGGAGAACAGTGGGTCGGACAGAACCCCATTTATTCTCACTCTTTGTGACCTGTCAGCTAAATAGTCTAAAATCTAATCCACCAGGTTTTCCCCAACTTCAAACTGTTCTTAAAGTCTTTAGATTAAAATATTGGGGTGTATTTTATTAAAAGCAGAGGAGAAATCGGTAAACAGAAGTCGTACAAAAGTCTCTTTACTCTCTACATGTTTAGAAATCAGATTAAGTAGAGTCAATGGTGCATCCTGATAAGGTTTTTAAAGACTTTCATCACGACTGAGGTGAAGGCCTGAAGTCAGTCAGAACTTTCAGGCGACCAGCTTTAAGGACAGGAACAACGACAGCTTCTTTCCAAAGAGAGGGCACATGTTGCATTTGCAAGGATTTATTAAAAATAACCTGAAATAAAAGACTGAGTTCTCTAGCACAAGATTTAAATAGACGTCCACTAATATTATCAGGATCGTGGCTTTTGTTAATAAGAGGTAGGAAGATTTTTGTTACCTGTGAGCAGTGTCAGTTTACTTGTTTCCTCTGGTTTACTATCTTTAAGCTAAGCCGATCTAGCCACCTCCTGGTTTAGAAGTATGAGCATCTTATTCCTGGCAAGAAGGGGATTTCCCCCCAAGCTGAACAGAACCCTGTGATGTATGATCTTCATCTACGGTTACAATCACAGACACAGGCAGTCTGACTAAACCAATTAGACACAAATGGTTGTGCTTTACACAATGCTTTCCTGAGAACTCTCACAGTGCAGGCTGGGAAAAAAGCACAAGTAACCATCTGCGCTTTTTGCTTTTGCAACTGTAAGATTCTTCAGAACTCCGCTGTATTTAACCAGTGTCACCGAGTTTATAGTATGGTACAGAGGATGACTAACCTCTCAAAAATCAGCCATAATCTTAAGCAATAACTCCAAATAATTAAGTGGTTGAAGATGAACTTCAGTCATCTGTCTTCACCTCCCAGTTAAACATGACCTCTCTCTGAGCTTGGGGAGTAAACAGTCTTATAAACCTTTATGACACTGACTTCGAATGCCTGCCAGAATCCTTTTATCCACCACGGATTTAAATTGTGGAAAAATGTAACTGCAGCAAATCGTGCTTCATCAGCTCTGAGCTGGACAAAGTTTGCACTTTGCTTTCACGCTGTAAGGCCACTCTGAGTGCAAGGTGGGTGCAGAGTTGAACTCTGACATCTGTCCCAGTTCGTGGCGGCGTGGAGCTGTTTTGGCCTTGCTGCCTCCCTCTCTCGCCTCTCTTCCTCTCCCTCCTCCATTGTGTTGTTTTAGAGAAGAGCAGCCGCTTGTGTTGATTTCCTCAGTTCTGGGGTATGCGCTCGCCTTGCCAGGATAAGCAGACAGGCTTGCGCGATGATGTTTGTTGGATCCGCTTTCCTGGACAGCCAGCTGGATGAGGAGAAGACCTACATTTTGCCAGAAAAACAAAAAGTGTGGTGAAATTGTTTGTATTGGCATTCCTGAGCAGGGTGCAGATGCCTTCAGATGGGAAAACAACAAAGTGCTTGTTTTGCAGATGCAGTCCTCTCTGATTGTTTGTCAATCGACTTACAGTGAAAGATGTGACATCATTCGACTTCTGTTAACAAATGCGCAGTTTCCGCTCTTGTTGTCAAATATTTTTTGAATTAAATTTAAGTCTTGTCTAATCAGTCAATAAATTCATTTTACTGCAATCTGGCAGAGATGTCATAAAAAACGGTGATTTGAAGGTGAAAACATGTTTCAGGAGCTGCATGTGTCCTTGAACACTGCTCACAATTCCAGTCAGGAAAGTTTGGCTCATGCTTTTGCTGTTTTTCATGACCCTTTCCCCTCTGCTTCTCTAGTGGTGAAGCCATTGGTTGTGGAAGATACATATCTACTCTGCCCTGCCCCAGTGCTTGAAGAGGAGGGGATGTAAGTCGTATAATTTACTTAAATAAATGTGAGGTTTCAAATGAAACCCTCTGCTCTGCTTTTCAAGGTTAAAACGGGGCTGAGATATTTTTCTTTGTCTTTGCCAGGGCAGCAAATCTTTATGTCAGCATGAACGAGGGTCTCAGTTTCATCTCTAGCTCGGTCACAATTACCACCGTGAGCTGTGTGAGTACAATAAGATATAGGGGCATTTGGCCTTTAGCGGGGGCTTGGAGCAGCACAGAGTGTGGAGCTACAGACCGGAACACAAAAGTGGTTTACATCCAGCGCTCTTTGTGTTCAGACAGCCTATGCTGACGTGTCTGTCTCTTTTACAGTCTGATGGGACCATCCTGGCCGTAGCTCTGCTCATCCTGATGTTGCTCCTGGTCTTGGCTCTCCTCTGGTGGTTCTGGCCTCTGTGCTGCACTGTGGTCAGTTCCCTGCAACGAAAACATGCACTCGTACTGCTTTACAGATTGCTCTCAGCCTGCTCCTTCTTACATTTTACATGGCTACAAAGAGTATGGGGGCTGTAGCCGAGCCATTTACGTCCTAATTGATACCACAGACAATATAGTGAAGCCTGGAGTCTGTGTATCAGTATTCCTCCTTTGGATCCTTGCATCTTGCAAAAAAAAAAAGTGATACAAATTAAAACTAATATTTGATTCATTTCTTTTTAATTAATCCAAAGGTTCAAAAAACACTCAATTTTCCCAAAAAGTTTAATTTTTTTATGATTTAGGCTGTAAAGAGTTAATTTTTACTGGACTTTAAAAAACACTCTGTTCCTGAGGGATCTTTGTTGCTGAAGTTAGTCCACAACCAGTAAATAGTCTCGGCCATCAGGTGAACATGCGTTTAAGCAATTATACCTCTCCTAAAATTATTTGTGTTTCCAGAGGTTACTGCAGGTAACCTCCAAGTCAGTATATTCACTTAAGGAGATCTAACTTGTAGCAGATTTTTCTACCATTTATGGCTTTACTTGATTTGTTGCCAGTGGTGTGGAAACAAAAGCGTCTATAGCCTGAATGTTTTGGTTGATATCTTTGTCACTATGAAGTTTTTAAGTAGCGGGATAACTGATTCCAAGTAAAGAGTTTCTTTTATTTTTATTTTTATTTTTTTATGTACTTATGCAAAAGCCATCTGCTCAGGACTCGGTGAAATGAGGAAATGCTTTCCAAAAACATGTTTGTGGGATTATTTAGCATCAAGGTATTTCAGCAAACTCACTTGCTACCACATGCCCTCTGTACAAATCCGTACATCTCCTTTCAAATCGTCACGGGCATGGTGTCTCTTCAAAATGCACTGCAGTGTTTCCACTGGAGCTGGAAACAGGAAAGCTGAGCCCTGCCAGAGAGAGATGTCAGCTTTTACAACACAGCTTTCTCTCCCTTCACTCTTTTTCTGTCCATGTCAATTCGCTTGCAAGTTGAAGTTCATGCAACAAGTGTGTTTGGGAAAAAACGACACTAGGTTACCAAGGGGAGTCTTTTTTTTTTTCCTTCTTTTTGTTCCAGGATTTGGAAAAGAGTGCAGGAAAAATCACAAATAAGAATCAGAGTGACTTAATTTGCCAAATGCATTTAGTGGAGATGAATCTGTCTTTATTACACCTGTGAAAAAACCCTGACGGCTCATGCAGTGAGGAAAAAGTTTACATGGGGATAGCAGCGGTGTACATTGTTGTGCATTCATCCAAGTTTTGAGTTGCATAACATCGAAGTAGATGGATAAATTGTTTTTCTTTCCCTATTTATGTGATACTAACTAACGTATAAATACTATAAAAGTTATCCATAAAACTAAAAAGGCATAATGTGGCATTTATGAGGTTGTTACTCTTCTCTTGCTTTAACCAGCAACCTCAAGGCAAAAAAATCTGGATAGCAGATTTCTAGGTCAGCGCCTAGAGTAGTAGTACGCCTCTAAGTCGTAGAGACTAAGAGGGAAAACATTTCTCAGTCATTTGCTGTTGTGTAGCCACGTCACTGTGCATAAAGCGCGCATTGTTCTGACACGCAAAAAGCATTTTCAAACATGTCTCTGCGACTTCTGTCATCTCCTGATGTTAAACAATGCTCTCCATCTTTTTCTTCCCATTCACTCTGCTTTTTCTTCCCCTCTTTTATTTCGCCCACAGATCATCCACGAACCACCACCACCGCCAGCTGTGGAGGATAGTTCGGTAGGAGCTTCACAATCTCCGCCTCCTATCTGTTTTGTCAAGACTGAAAAAGAGTGCTTGTGATTTAAGACTTCGACAGCTGCCAGCGTTTAGCTTATGTAATTGTTAGAGTGACAGCGTAAACCTCAATGACCACACGGCGTCACTGACTTTCCAGCTTTAAACTTTCAACACTCGTTTTCTGATTCATTTGACGAGAGTTAACGCCCTCTCAGAACAACGGCATCGTGACTTTTACAGCACCCCACCACACACACGCACACACACCATTTCTGCTGTTTGTAAGAACACTGCTTTTGTGTCCAAGACTTTAATTTATGCCTTTAAAAAATTATAACCATTTGGACCTGCAGTAAGAAGTTTAAAAACTCAATAATAATAACTCAATAACTCAAAAACATAATTTCAATTTAGTTTTAAGATCAAACCGCAAGTCCAAATGACTCGATTCAATACAGTTTAACGGTCCTCAAACACGCTGCTGCAGCTGTGGGACGTATCAGGCTGTATCTGTTTGCACAAAATTAAACAGAAAATTAGGTTTAACTGCTGAATTTAAATGCCAGTGACATCCACGGCCTCAAAGACTGCTTTTATTACGGTCTCCTCTGTGCGACATCCTGGTAGGATACGAGACAGACAGGGTGTATTAAAGAGCTGAAACATCACAAGTTTGGCTAGTGGGCTTTTTCATTTCCTTTGATCAGACAAACTAGAGCAATGGGGACATAATGACAGCTCAGGGATAGGAAGGACACAGAGAGAGGGGCATTCATTCCAGTTTGCCTGGTAACAAATAAGAGAGCAGTTCTGTGCAAAAGTCTTGTGCCACTCCTCTTTCTTTATATTTTGCTTCCAAGAGGGGCCATTTTGTCATAGTTTTCTTGAGCAATAGTTCTCCAGGCTTTCTTTGGAAATTGGCAGGGAACCATTTTTTAAACTGTATCTTTCCGCACTTTGTTACAACAGCCTGTGGCAAAAACACAGAAATATTCCTGTTTCATAAAACATGCCAAAGATAATACAGTGTTACAAGCATAAAATAGTATTTTTCATGAACAAGATGATTCAAAAAGAGTTACACTTGGCATATCTCTGCATGTTGTGCAGTGTGTCCTTGAAAAATTTGAGGAAACTGGACACGAAAGGGACATCTGCAGCAGATGGGCAGTATCTGGAAATGTCCTCAAGAAATAGGGAAAAAGACCTGACACAGGAGCCGAGAGATGCATCTGGCACATCAGTCTATCCGTCTGCTGTTCACTGAAGCTCCATCAGAATTCCTCTCAGTGAAAGGGTGGCAGTCGAGAGTGAGGAATCCAAATTTGTTCAAATTATCATCAGTGCTTATGAAGTGAGTGAGTGCCTACAGCATCTGTAAAACACGTGGAAGCTCTGTCATGGTTTGGTGATGCATTTCAGCCAGTGGCGCTGGGCAGCTTGTCAAAATTGATGGAAATACACACAAAAAAAAAAACAACCATCAGATTTTGATCCACTGTGCCATATCATCTAGAAAGCATCAAATTGGCAGCAGCTTCATTTTTCATCATGACAATGACCCCAAACACACTGCCAATGCAGTAAAAGTGTACCTGGATAGAAAAAACACACAATGGAACACGATCAGTCGTCGGTTCCACATTATTGAAGCAGAGTGGGATCTTCTTGACAGAGAATGGAACAAAAGGCAGGAAAGCTTATTTAAGACACTTCAGGCTGTGTTGAAGAATAAAGGCGATCATACCAAATATTGACTTTTAAGCTTGTTAGAACTGTCAAAACTCTTTTTTTGTCTTATATACTGGATTTCCATGCATGTGAGTTAGCAGATGTTTAAATAAATTGCTCCTCCTATTTCGCTTTTTCCTAGAAATGTGTGAAGAAATAAGGGGCGGGCCAGGACCTTTTGCACAGTACTGAATGTTTACTGCCTCTTAGTTCAAGCTAAGGGGTGATAAACATTGGTGAAACGGTTAAACAACAAATACATTAAAAAAAAAACATTTCCTGTTGCTCTCCCGCAGGATGATGAGGACTTTGAAGCCCCCAAGAAGAAATGGCCGACTGTTGATGCCTCCTACTATGGAGGAAGAGGCGTAGGGGGGATCAAAAGGATGGAGGTTCGCTGGGGTGAGAAAGGCTCCACTGAAGAAGGAGCAAAGCTGGAGAAGGCCAAAAATGCCAAAGTGAAGATGCCTGACCAGGAGTATGTGTCACCACCCCCTCGGGTTCTTAACAATGGCATGCAGAAACCGCCGGCGCCACGCAACTGGTACTCACCCATTAAGGTAAGGGGGGGGGGGGGGGGGGGGTTATATATGATTACTCATTAGGAACTACTGAGAAACTCAGTATGATGCTTCACTAAGGGAACACAAACAGTAGGCAATGGTGAAGATTATTTCACCATTGCTTACTGATTACTGAAAACCATTGCCCCAGATGGTTTTCAGTAATCAATATCTAAGACTACATTTGTAAATTAAAGCTTTGATGCTGTGTAAAATGTAAATATGAAACAAAATCTCATCTAACAGTATTTTATTCACGACAGAACATAGTTGAATTTTTCGTTTCATGATGCTCCAAATGTTTTTAAATTGGTGGAAAGATCTGGTCTGCAGGCGGACTAATTCAGAACCCAGACTCTTCATCTATGATGCCACGCTTTTCTAATAGACGTATGGAGTTTGGGATGATAGTGATATATGGAAGATCTTCTCTGAAAAACACTTTATCTGGATGGGAGTGTATGTAAAACATGTACAGGCCTTTCTGCATTGTTGGTGCCTTTCCAAATGTATGTTCCTAATACCACAGGCACCAGTGCAACTCTATATCATCAGAGACGCAGGCTTTTGAACTCAACGCTGATAACAAACTGGACCCCTCTCCTTTTTAGTTCGAAGGACACGGAGTTCATGTTTTCCAAAAAGAATTTGACCACAGAACAGTTTTCCACTTTCACTTTTTTCTTTTTTTTAAAAGATGTGTTTCTGCCATCAAATTCAAAACGAGCTAATATTTAAAAAAAATAAAAATAAAAAAAATAAAAAAAAAAATAGTAAAATGTCTCACTTTAAACATCTAATACGTTTTCAGCACCCGAACATTTTTGGAACTGAGATTTACTATAATGTCTTGAGTCAGACGTGATCATGGAAGTACTGAGGAACAGCTTATCACTGTTGTCCTGAATCATTCCTCACAAGTGTTACCTAAACAACTTAAAGCAAACAGGATATGAGTTTTAACTGAGCCACATAAAAATGAGTAAATACTGGAGAATTTGAGAGTTATTACTTTAAAAAGTATTTGAAGTGTGGGAATCATGGTTTTTAACAGCTCTGCTGGGGCGCATACTACATATAACACAGCATCTGTCACAGATTACTTCATGCTAATCTGGCTGAGGATATGTTAGTACGAGTATGGTGTTTTGGTGAAAATAGCCCGAGATGTGTTCGGGTATTAAAGCTTAGGTGACAATTGGCACACGGCTCCATTCCTCCAGGACCAGCGTGGGGTTAAAGGAGTCTTTCTGAAGTCTTCCCAGTCAGCAGGGGATTGCTAATAGAAACCAGACTTCTGTTGGACTGACCTCCAGAGAGAAAGGCTCCACAGCCAGGAGTTTTTGTGAGCAAAAACAGCTGCATTTTTTCTGCTCTTATCCTCAAAGTATTTGCTGCGTCTGAAAAGTATGAAGAGCCAACTTACAGTGGACTGAAACCATTTCACTGTGTCGCTTTGAGATAAATGGATGAATTAAACGATACATTAAACTGCAGCTGAAGTCACTTGTGTGAAAAAGAAGACAAAAAAAAACCAAAAAAAAAAAAAAAAAAACAAGGGTTGGAAGCAGAAACCAATGTTTTGTAGGATTTTACATTCTCTTAAACATTTTGGTCTCTTCTCTGTTTCCACAGAGCAAACTGGATGCATTGTGGGTGCTTTTAAGAAAAGGCTACGACCGTGTGTCTGTAATGAGACCTCATCCAGGTGACAAGGTAAGAGCAACACCAACCCTGCACTGGCATGCACTGAGCGTGCATTGTAAATCGTTCTGCATTTCACGGGCTGACGTCAGGCTTGGCTGTGCATTAACTTCTGGCAAATGAAAATTAGCAATTGAAACGATTGTATGTGAAAATGTTGAGAAAATGGACCAGCTGTAAGCAATGAAGTGTGCACAGCGAGACTCATGGGAAAAGTTGCAGTGGGATTGGATTTAGACTGCTACAGTACGCAGCAATGTAAAAGCGTCTGGTGAAGTCATTATGAAAAAACAAAATGAAATTCCTCAAAGACCAGCTGCAGTGGGGGTGACAGTGCAGTGACCACTGCAGCTGGAAGCTAACATGAAGTCAGAGACAGTAGAGTCTGTATGCGGTGAAAAACGGGAATTATGTGTCTAAAAATGTCACCGCAAGCGTTTATGTAATGATTCACATTTCTCTGGGTCAGAGTGTTGATCTAAAACCATTACCCTCACAGGGTGAAAAGACATTTCTGGCACATTTAAACAATCATTTTTTACATTTTCTAGAATTTTCTCTGTAACTACTGTAACTCCTAAGTGTTTTGAGTAAATCTAAAGTACACTGAGCTAGTTTCAGATTTGACTCAATAACAACCCAGACAGGATTTGCTGCTAGAAGATAGGCCTTTAAATGCCATTCCAGGGAGGAGCTGCTCCTATTGTTTGCACAGAGCTGTATAAGGTGACACACAGCCGTGTTGAAACATAAAGGAGAATTTTGAAGATGAGAGTAGGAAGCAATATTAGTAGCCCACCTTTCTTTTATTTTAAACTTCTAGTGAGAATACCAGTTACTCCCAGTTACTACAGTTAATACCAGTTATGCATGCTTTTAAACCCATGTTTTTGTAATGTTATGCATATGCATATTATAAACTCAACAGCCATTTTGTTAAGTACAGCTGCTCAGCTGTTTATTAATTCACATATCTAATCAGTCAGTCATGCAGCAACTGATTTAGGCATGCAGACATGGTGATCTACTCAAAACCATCAGAATTGCCCGAAAAAGAATAAAATACCCAGTGAGCAGCAGTTCTCTGCGGAAAATGAAAACGCCTTGTTGATGTCAGAGGAGAACTCCCAGACTGATAGGAAGGCAACAATAACTCAGCTAACCATTTGTTATAACAAAGATATGCAGAAGAGCATCTCTGGAAGCACAGCACACATATCTTAAAACAGATTTAGTTTATAGCAGCTGAAGACCACAGCAGCAGCCGGTGCCATCCCTGTAAGCTGAGAATAAGAACCTAAGGCCACAAATCACATGTTGTCTCAGTTTTTGCAGGGACATTTAAATCGCATGTACTGAATTCTGCATAAACATCATGAAAGCCTCGATCCATCCAGTCCTCTATGAATGATTCTGGTGGAACTCTGGTGATGTAATAGTACCGGGGATATTTTCTTGGAGTATTTTCGGACCAGAGCGTACCCATCATCTGACAGCAGGATAACACGACACATCACAAACCTCAAATGATCTCAAAATGACTTCTTAAACATCATAATGACTTCACGAAACTCCAGTGGCCTTAACAACTAGCAGATCTCAATCAAATAGAGCATCTTTGGAATGCGGTGAAACAGGAGATTCACATTAATCTGCAGCAACTGTGTGATATTGTCATGGTAATGTGGACTAAAATCTCTGAGGAGTGCTTCCAGCACCTTGCTGAATCTATGCCATGTAGAATTAAAGCAGTTCTAAAGGCAAACAGCAGACCAACCAGTTACTAACAAGTTCAGCAAAGCTCACCAGTATAGTCCATAGTTCATTTTTTGGCAGCTATAATGTAATTTTTTACTTTGATGCAAAAATCCTAATGTTGATACTTTATGCAGTTACAATAGAAATATAATTGTTTGGCATGAATAAGCCTCTGGAATTTTCAGACTGATGTGTTATTATACGGTCAGGTTTCTTCATCTTCATCAGTGCAGTTATGCAGCATTTCCTTAAAGAGATACACTGACAGTCCAGCAAGACCCTCATTTCATGCTGAGGAGGATGGGAAATTACATCTCAAGGCAAACTTATCAGGATTCATACTTTAAACTATTTCTTAGCCTCCTTTGCTGTATTTTTTGTCTTGAAGTGAGCCAGATGTTTTTAGAGGGTAAAAGGTCTGGTATGTAGGTGAGCCACTTTAGCAATCAGGCTTGTTTTCTACAGTCATGGTGTTGTAATACATGCAAAATGCAGTTTGGCACTGTTCTGATAAAATAATCAAGGCGTGTCCTGATTAAAAACAAACAAACAAGAAATAAGTGTTCTTTTTTCTTTGCATGATAGAGTTTTAACTTGTAATTGTGGATGCAACGAGCCTGAGCAGCCGATTTCACCCTGTTTTACTTCAGCCTCAGCCTGTCTGCGATGCTCTTTTGTGCCCAAGAGGCATTTTATAATAAGCTTTCAAGCTTATTCTAAAATATTATACAGGATATTTAGAACTAACTAGGCAGCTCATTCTTTTGACAGTACTTTTTGCATTATGCAGTTTATGGACGTTTTAACCAGCACTCAGCTCACTGAGAAACAAAGTGTCGAAGTGTGTCTTCCTCACTATAAAAGCTTTTCATTAGCTTACTGGAAAAGAAAAATACTTGTTTGTACTTTCTGAGCAGAAAGCTTGTTCTGATTGCAATTAGGAGTATATTTTAAAAGCCTTTTTATAAATGAGTGCAGCAGCGGGGAGGAGGAAGCCAGCCGATCCAGTTGTTGCTGGAGAAAAACCCTGTTACGTGTCGCTTTTGTGAGCCTTAAAGACTGGGGTCTTTTCAGTAATTAAAAATAAAATCAGAGGACGTAACACAGCAGGTTACTGGGCTACTGAACCATCACATATTTCAGTAGTGACTGACTGGGAATGTAGATACAAGTATGATACAGTCCAGGAGCCCAAGAGACATAAGGATCTATGATATTCAGTATAAGATGAACTGTACAACATGCAGCATTTGGCCTATTTCTTTTCCCCCAACAGTCATTTCTCCTCAGTGTTAAATAAGAGACACATTCCTTATCAGCCTATTGCAACTCCTGGGTCGACTGAGTGCAGCTGCTCCAGGGGTGTAACTTGTTTCTGGAGTATGATGATGATGATGATGTATATCTCCCTTGAATGACCTCACTTCATTTTGAATGGGCGTAAATGATGGCAGGTCAAGTTGTCCAATGAAATAGGTGCATAGCTTCTCAAAATTTAAGCTGGGACTGAGAATTACAGCACATTTTTTAAGGTCTGCTGACATTAAAATACACATTATGTAGCTGTGTACTGACAACAGGAAAAGGCTTTTGTGAGAGTGAGTTCATTCAGTTGTCAAAGCAGGAAAGTGTGTGTTTTGTCAAAGAAAGTTCAGAAAAGTGGAGACATTGGTTCTTCACCCTTCAAATTCTGAAGATATTGTTTGATCAAATGAAAAAAAGAGCAGCAGATAAATTTAAAAAATGTCATAGATCCTATGTTTTTAGTTAGTACTAATGTTTTCTCAAACTTAGAATTAATTAATTAAAAATATAGGAGCTGGCACCACTTTGTGGAAGCTACTGTGTTGCCCCACTTTCTTGAATGCAATGGCTGAGATGGATATAAGACTATTTTCCCAAAATATGTTGCACCCGAAATGTGAATTCTTACCTATGTTTTATCATCTAAGAAGGGGTACTCCTCAACAAACAAGCTGCAAAAGAAAAGAGAAAACTCTTCCTCTAACTCTTCCAGGCTAATCTCCTGAACTGAAGATGTGGCTCTAACACATAAAAATGTGCATAAACATCCTTATTTATTCCAGATATTGTCACAATTACTTATTTTCAGCAGATTTGAAATGTGACTCTCCTGTGTCCAGATACTGAGCTAGCTAAACAAAAACAGCAGCTGGTTATAAATGTGGTTACCACCAACAAGCCTATGAGTGTCCTTGAAGCAAACATGAATCTTACTTTCTCTGTGACAAGAAGTTTGATTCTCACATCATATGAGAGTTTATTTGCTACGTGACAGAGTCACACAATGTTAGATCTACTTCAAAGATAGTTTCACTAATGCCAGCTAACAGAGGCTAACAGTAGCTAACAGAGGCTAACAGTAGCATTTACCAACAGACAAGGTAAGGATATCCTCAACAACTCAGTATCAGTGTCACTGGTCAAAAGTGAGCTTCAACAACAGACCGACTCATATCTGACTACTTTCAGAAAGTTTTACAGCCTCATCCAGAGTAAATAGATGTAGATATTTTTCACTCTGCATATTGAAAGCCGAGATAAACAGTAGACTGACAGATTGCAAAATATGTTCATGCAGATCTGATCTGCTTTTTAGCCACGACTTATTGCACAAAGTTGATATTATTCAAATAGTATGTTAAAATATAGTACTTGCACTTTATGGCAGTAGTTTACGAATGTATGAAATTTTGCTTTGGCTCTTAGAAAATGCAAATATCATCTTATTGTTCTGAAATGTCGTATTAGACTTCAAGCTAGCTGCTGAGACAATAAAATCATTAATAAAGTTTTTATAGTGAATATACGCTAAGTAAGCAGTAGGGTCACCACAGTGAGATTTTTTTTTAATGCAACCTTAGAGGTCACACCTTGTTGGATCATCAAAAGAAAGCAGGTTTAGGCAAATGTTTTATGAGCCTCACTTTTCAAACCCATAGGCTAAATCCATCTTCTATATACAGGCTATGATGTGAGCCAGACCTTTTCCTTTCTGTCATTTAGACTCAATGTCTGAATTTTCATTGTGAATTTTTGCCTTGGATTGAACAATTAATGGAAAAAAATTTAACGTTTGCCACTTTGCTAACAAAATCTGAACTCTGTTTAATTTTATAGGGCAGATGCATGAACTTCACCCGTGTAAAATCCCCTCCTAGCTACCCACACTTCAACAATCACCCATCTCCCATCTACAACCCGCCTGGCAGGAATCCACCTCCACCGCAGGGCACCCTACCACCGACTCCCAGCGCGCCGCCCTTCTCCTCGCTGCCTCCAACCCCTCCACCCATTTCCACCCCTCCCCCTTACACACCACCTCCCAACCGGGCTCTTCCTCCAACCACCTTGCACATACCCGCCCCACCGGCGCTCTCACCCACGCCTCCGCCCTGCGCTAGCCCAACCGGCTTGCTGCCACCTCTTCCCCAGGGACCCCCTCCTGGACGAGCCCCTCCACCTGCCCGCCCTCCGCCTCGCCCTGGCCTGTAGAAGTCTGGTGGGAGACAGGAGGTGGTCACACAAGACTGAAAAACATAATCCAGAGTTCCACCAGCACATAGCCATCTTTGATTGTAACTACGAGTGAGGTGCAACAAGGTGCCAACCTCAGCAGGCTGTAGCCTTTCAGACTTGTGACGAGGAGGAGCGAGAACTTGTTTTCAGCTATTTGTCTACTTTTGTACACATCTAGCCCAACAGTGCAATTGCTTGGATGCTTGAATTACATAGACATTCCCTATAAATGAGATCACGCAGGCCGGCTCAAAAACATTTGACTGAAGACTGTATGAATTCTGACCGAGCAGAGGATCAACAGCTTGTACTAACAGCTTTATACACAGGCCCTAGAGAAGGAGTACAGTTGTCTTCTGAATGGCCATGTCACTAAAATAAATGCCACTGTAAAGTTCCTGTTTTATATAAGAGAAAAGAAAAACACTCATCCTGCAAATGTTCCACATACAGCAGAGTAAGGATGATGCAGAGGCATCTGAAAACAATCCTTTTTTTTAAATCCTTGAATGTTTGCATGCAAAAGTGCTCGAATCATCGTTTGTAGTTTTTTAACATTTGTACTTGTTTTTATACATTTGTAAATACTTTCATTTTTTACTTTGTACTTGTGTAGACCACACTCTTCATTTTGGGGAAAGAAAGACAATCATCGGTGATGACGGCATGGACAGTAAGTGTACTGAAACAGCAATGCAATGTATCTGAACTTCCAGTGTTCAACTCCTGACTCGCAAACTATTTTCATCCAACCTAATGTGAGCCATGTCTGGCCCGTTTTCTGTGCTCATTGGTGTAAACAGTAAATTTGGCTTTACCAGATGTATGGCTGGAACTGACCTGACCAAGATGACTGTAATTACAGCTGTAGGTAAGCGATGCATAGGATCTGTCTGTTAAGATGAGGGTAACTCTGGGAATCAGGGAAAAGCTTTGCACATCGTCTTACTCGTCCACCTACGGCTTCAAAAAAAGTTGTACATTATTAATGCAAATAAGCGTGCTCAGTTATATGTGTGCTGTACATTGATGAGTCAGTAAACAATCTTGTTTTACTTTTTTTTGCAGAAAGTCTTTAATTCCTCTGAGAATAAAATACGATGGAAGCCATTTCGTGGATGTTGATATGAAGCTTTTACTCTCATCACGTCACAGTTAGCAATCCCGTCAGTACTGTACAGTAAACACAGACTGGTGTGTGATTCATTTAAAAAGCAAGGAAGCAGTTTAGCTACATAAAATCTGACTCCGTCTTCTCATTCTTTTCTTCAGATGCTAATTTGAAAAACATTCTGTTTTACTTCCGGGCAGCAAAAGCAGCCACTGATCCACATGTTTACTGTGTATGCTTTCATCAAGAGTCTGTAAAGCCTTTAATGCATTTAGCTGGATATTCCCTCAGGTCACTTTTTATCCACAGGGCTCCTTTAAACAATATTCTGTACCTCCCAAACTAAATGTACAGCTGTTCTGTTCTCATTTACCTACTGACATTACCACTGCGTGAATGTCTGCAGGCCCTCACTCATTCCTTGTGACAGAAAAACAGAGAAGAGAATACTTCATGTGCAGCAAACTCATTCAAGATGTTAATATATTGCATTATGTTACAACACGAATAGGAAAATATTTGAAACAATCTAATCCTCAGGAAATATGCATGGGCTGCAGAAATGAAAAAGCCTGTCGAGGGTGATGACATCATGATGATCTGGGAATAACAAAGAGGACAGAATCAAATCAAAGGGCAGATTTTGTAGTAGAATTTCGGGCAAATTTTAAACTTTGTTGCTGTTGCTAACCTCTGTTTCTAAAGTAAATCACATAAACTCATTGGCCACTTTGTTAGGTACACCTGTTCAACTGCTCGTTAACACAAATATCTAATCAGGCGTTCACATAGCAACTCTGTGCATTTAGGCATTTAGACATGGTTAAGACGACCTGGTGTAGCCCAAACAGAGTATGTGGAAGGGTTGTTGGTGTCAGATGGGCTCGACTGAATAACTCAGAAACAATTGATCTACTGCGACCTTTCTGCACAGCCACGTCTAAAGTTTACAAGGACTACAATCTGGAAAAAAAATAAAATAAAAATCAGTCTAATGTCTTCAAATACAAGCACAAATACATTAGAATACAAACAGCAGAATGTAAAATGGGTTCTTGTAAATCATTTGGCAGAAAATGTTTGATGGTTATCAAAAGCAGCCATGAATTGCCAGACAGTAAACATGTAAATGTAACTGAATATTCATTAGATTTTCAAAATAAAATTACCAGCATTTTAACTGAAGCTTCAGGTTTAATGTTCACTGCTGCTGGCTCAAACTGACTAACCCTAATGAAGCAGATTTGAACAATTACATCATTAGGTTTGTTCATTTGGTGATCAAACATGATGTTTCTGGTAGTCCACAGTAGTTGGATTTTAAGTAGCAACTTAAAAAGATCCAACTGCTGATAAACAAGGAGACCTAACCTAAAAGAAGATAAAGAGGACACAGCTGTTTATTGCACTTTGACTTGGCGCCGTCAGGAAACATCTAATAGATACCGGGTGAACCTGCTGATTGCTCCCCTGCCCTTATTATGCAGAAGATGCTAAACTTTTAAGAAAAGATAAACACAATATCAAGTCTTGACAAGATCGTATAAACGACTACAGTTACAGAAACTCAGGTTTCTGCTTTTGGTTTTTCAGGACGTTTAGGCATAGAGGAATCATGGTTAGAGATGCGCATTTCCTGTGATAACACCTAATTCCTGCCCCTCTAACAAGAGGCCTGCAGCAGAGAAAATCCGTTCTCCTTACGACACCAAGCTGTCTGCAATTAAAGTCACAACAGCTGCTAACACTTATTCAGCCCCACTGATAAAAGCTGCAGTGACGCTTTGATTTATAAGAACTAGCTCCTACACAGAGGATGTTACCTGCTTCACACGATGCTCTTTATAGATGAGAAACTGCCCAGGACGCTCCCCATGCTCGGACAATGGAGGCTGTTACTGCTGAAAGCCGTGGTTACTTTCCATAATTACTCCACAGCTGCGTGTGAGGCCGCCGTTGTGGTTAGTTTCTGCAATGAAATCTTTCTGAGAGCTGCACTTGCTTTCACCAGGAACTTGACTCTTTACCTCTCAGTCTTGCTGAAACTGAACACGTTCATCAGGCAGAAGCTAGCAGGTGTGCTCCTGGCACGTGAAGACTTGGACCAACATGCATGCTCAAGCTGCTGCTGCTCCACCTGGCCTCCATCGCACACCTTGAGAAATTACAGCTGCCCTCCGAGTGGCTGTGGAGGAAGGAGATCTGCACAGCCCTTAAAGCCAATCAAGGCAGTGCTGCTTGTGCTGCCCGCGCTCTGCCGCTTCTCACTATCTCTGTGTTTGATGTCCTTTGCTCTCGTTCAAGTGGCAGTTTCACTCCTGCCTTGTCTGTGGAGCAACCTCAGACGCTGCGTCTCCACGGTGACAGCTCTACGTGAGAGCATCAGACCGATAGCGTCCGTCTTCCTGGAGTTTGGCACCAGCGGCGGCGTATCGTTACTTTGAGCTACCCCTAAATACCTCCAGTACCTCAACTCTTTGTGCAATCTATAACCTGAAAAACTAAACAAGTTATTTTAATGACAAGTCCAAATGTGCCTGAATTTCTACAGCGTATTTATTGGAATAAAAATCGTACAGACACCTTTTGTTATCACTGTCAGTATTTTAGGTCATGTAAATCCACAAGCGCACACATCCTCAATCCAATAACTCCCAGACACTTTTAAAAGATACGTACGTGACACTTTATTGCATCAGTTCCACTAATAAATAGTACTCCCACTCCCTCTGTAACCCAACAGATGGTGCTAGGATCCAGTGCAGCATCCTTGATCAATACATCCAGACAGTAAATCAAAAAGTGTTTCGAGTGTGGGTTACAAAAGTACCTGTAACAACATTTCACTGGCTCAGAAAAGGCTCAAGGGGGGAAAATGAAGTCCAAGTTAAGGCTTGATTGTAAATGCAAGATAAATATCTTTAAACTTAAAGAATGCAGGCTTAAAAAAAGCTGCTCCTATTCTTTCTCTACTGCATAACTGTGTGTGTGTGTGCGCGCGCGCGCAATGTCACTTTTCTTGGCTTCTGAATTTAAAAGACACCTGGGATCACAGACACACAGCTTGGCATTTGGCTTCTGACCAAAGTCAACGTCTACAGTATGACATGCTGCCAAGCGACTGTGTGTATACGTGCCCTCAGGGCCTCAGAATAACTTCATAGCATACGATCTGCAAAATCAGTTCATGTTTGGCTACAAAAGCAACAGTGAAACTGAAAAAAAGAGATTTGGTTTATGATTGCCAAAGCCACCAGAGACAGATTTTTGGTTTGACATTTCAGATGACAGTAACATTAACATTTTAAATGAAAGAGTAACTTCAATAATATAAAATTCCTTCCAAAAAACCAATTAACAAACAAATGTAACAAGAGGAGGAAAAAAAAGAAAGAAGAAAAGCTACAAATGGTCCCAAGATTGCAAAATGACGGTGGCAAGGTGTGGGCTGGCGACTGCCTCTACTTCAGGTTTGCAACTTTATCTCAATTGCATTACTTCAGTTTATTGATTAAAAGAAACCTTTATGCGAAAAGTCCCACACGAGAATGAAACGCTAAACTGCACCCAGAGAGCGTTTACAGTAACAGGATCGTGTCGAGAAAAATAGGAAAGAGTGAACGAGCGACGTCTCAGACTCTGGTGTAGGTGGTTCCTCTCATTAACTGAGTGGACCAAAACCAGAGTTTAAAAAACCGAATTCCTGGGCTTACACACAGCAACATTAGAAGATTTATGACAGTATTCACAAACTTTTTCTGATCGGACATTTGATGCTGCTCTTTGCTGCGTGTCCTCAGAAGAAAATCCAAGAGGGGAAAGTGTATCAAAACCACACTGCAATTATGAAGAAGCGATGACCTGTGGCTTGGAATGATTCAAGACTGTGGTTTACATCAACTGTGGAGTAAAGACACTTTGAATGATTAGCTGCCAAGGAAAAAAAAATCCCAACTAAACTACAAATCATTGCACTAAAAGAGAAAATGAGCCAGTGAGGTCTTTAAAGCGTAAACTACTGTGAGCTTTAACATCAGCTTCCAGAGAGCCCAATCAGCAACAGATAAACATGGAAGGCATGCCCATAAATGGCCAGCGAAGGTTGATACAGGTTCACCCCCGAAAAAGTGATATGCACGTTATATGTCATTCCCAACCCATTCCTTGCCACCGGCAACAACAAAGAAAAAACAAATGTTGTCAAAGCTTTCTGATAAAAGAAACAATGCAACACTGTGATAATACACAACAGTGAGATACAAGAGCGATTACTGAAAGACTACATTAAAAAAAAAGAAGAAAAAAAAAAGAGCCACGACACACAAGACACAGGACAGGACGTCATCTTCTGATGGTTTACTTCACACAGACGCTTCCTTTGGGGTCTGTGCTTGAATGTGTGTCTACGCCAAGCTTTTGTTGTTAGTGATGAATGGTGCGGCTCACTCTACTGTCACGGACTTGGCCAGGTTTCTTGGACAGTCCACCTGCGTTTAAACAGAGGAGCAGACAATCAATAGCCTTGCAGATGAAAAGGACACTGTTGCTGCTGTTGACTAAATGCTGCTGTCAAAACACCCGAGTATGATTTATACAAATCTTAACAAAAACATACTTTAATCTGCGAGCCAGAGATATGGCGGCTTGGCAGGACTGCTCTTGTAATTATCACACATGTCCTGTCCAGAGCGCTTCTCCTCCCCTCGGACAAAATTACATAAAACACAGGGCATGCGTGTGGTGGAGCTGTTTGTTCTACAGAGCTGCACGGCCAGGACGTTTCTCTGAAATGCTCTGAAAAACTGACTAGATGCTGACTTTGAGTTAAGCTGCTCACTTTGACCTTTAATATTCCTCAAAAACAGGAAATCAAGGGGACAACACATCTAAGTCAGTTCTGCAGCACCAGCACAAACATCAGTAACAGCTTGTGGGCTTTGCCAATAAATGAAACAATCGCAGGTCGGAATTCGCGCACAGATGGAGGTTATTTACATTTCACTATAATTCTTTCAGTGTGGCAGCTAACCACATCGTCATCACCTTCACCACCAAGTTTGCCAGTTTACATCGTTCACAAAGTAGGTTACATTTTCAAGCGAGTTGGGGACATGCTGATTTACAGATATAAACACTGCACGTTTATTCTGGCAGTGTTTCTGCTTACAAAGCAGTCCTGAGCGACAGCGCTAGATGATCAGTGACAGGCTAATAATAACAGAATATCTCATTTATATTGTGCTCCAGAATCTTTTGCACAACTGTCCTCTTTTATGTCCTGAAACGAATCATCGACGTATTTTACACAATCATACTCTTACTACACCTGTAAACACAGGTATACTGATGATGACTGTAAGAGTGGAAATGACTTGGGAAAATGGTATCTCCAAGAAATGTTTGAATTAAGAAGCATGCTGGATTGAGAGTTGTTGCTGATCCTGAAGGGAAAGCACTTACATCGTAGCCTCTGAGGACAGCCAGGTGGAAGGACAGCAGCTGCAGAGGGATAACGCTCAGGATGCCCTGCAGGCAGTCCAAACAGTGAGGCACTTTGATGGTGCGGCTGGAGTTTTTGATGGTTTCGTGATCGTCCTTGTCGCAGATCACAATAGGACGACCCTGTAAATGAAACAAAGAGATGAATATAGTGTGAGTTTTCACAACTCTAAACCAACATCTGTTGCAGATTGTTTACTGCACAATGATGGAGATGCGCTGAATCAACCTCTCCCCTTTCACCGACTGAGTTGAAGGGCCAGAGGTGACGCAGTGGTCAACATACTTTCGGGGTTTGAACTTAATGAGTTATGATGCAAACAGTTTTCAGAAAGGAAAAAACTTAAATGGATTCAAATAAACTCACTTAGTCATTTTCCACGATATAATAAACACTGTAAAGCGTCACATTTAGTTTTTATTTGTCAGAGTTTGTTTGAGCATTTCAGGCAACTAAACAATCTGGGCTGATCACTTGTGACTGGATTATAAAATAAACCAACACACCGACATTACAATAAGGCTGATCACAAAACATGCGCCATGTGCGATTCTTACCTGGCGAGCAACAACTTGCTGCAGGGCATTCTGACACTTGACATAAGTGTGGTCTCTCATTATGATCATGATCACCGGCATGAGTTTATCCACCAGGGCCAGCGGGCCGTGTTTCAGCTCTCCTGCCAGGATACCCTCTGAATGCATGTACGTGATTTCCTTGATTTTCTGCAGGGGAATAAAAAAAACCATCCAGACTTTAGATAAATGCAAGCCTACGCTGAAATTAACAATCAAGCTGTCAGATGATAAACTCGCATGTGCTCACCAGTGCTCCCTCCAAGCAGGTAGCGTAATGGTAGCCTCTGCCCATGATGAGCACACTCTTCTGCTGGTACAGCTCTGTTGCCAGCTTCTGGATTTCATCATCCAAACTGAGGACCTCCTTAATCAGATCTAACACACACACACACACATTTTTTTTTCTTGTTTCAAGAGGCTGACTGGCAGAGACAAAATATGAAAAAAATATTGCAGCAACATGAACCTAGACTCAGCTTCTAATGTTGGGCAGGGAGTGGCAGACAAGCCAGACATTCCTTATTAGGTTACTATTGGGGACATGCTATCATGTGCTTTAGATTCACAGAGTCATGCAAGAGCCCAACGCCAAAATCTAAAGCTATTCATCCGTCTGCCCCCCTTCCCGCTCTCTCTCGTCTTCTGATCCTTTTGTTGCCGTTTAAGTTTGTCCTCTAAGAGGATTAAAAAAAAAACAAAAAAATAAAAACACCAACAAAAACAAAACTAAAACAGGCTGTGGATGTGCTTGATCTTGGGTCTGAGAGCTAGTTTTTCCAGTCTTTTTGTGTTTAAACTTCACATATGATCAAGACTTCTCTGGCTGAATTACAACACATGTGGTGTGACTTACCTGGAAGCACTCTTAGGCCCTGGATTATCTCACGGCGCCTGGGCTGCACTGAAATCCTGTCATCGCACATCAGGAGGGCAAACATGATCAAGGCCACAAACTGACTGGTGTAGGCCTGAAGACGAAAAACACAACAGAGAAAGTAGAATATTTATTACGGTAACTGTAACACAATTGCTAAGATGCGGTTTCTTTGTCTGTCTCTACTCTGACTAATAAAGAAAACAACTGCTCCCTAACTATTTGCATGAAGGTCACAAAGTGGACCGCCACCACTGCACAGTCAAAGCTTGCTTGCTTGTGACCTCATTTCTAGAGGGAATGGTAGATTTCCTATTTTGCAGCTCAATATCGAACCAACGAAGCAGCGACCAGATCACGACTTGAGCCTTTCGGTACAGATTATGAAGCCATGTCCTTCTTTTTCGCTTTGTTTTGATTGCAAATTTGGTCTCCAGTTTATAATCTGCACCAGATGAAATATGGAGAGGTGGGTTTTCATACACATCAAGCAGCATTATAAAAAAAAAAAAAAAAACACACGCAGTTAAGTTAGTGCTGCTCATCCTAAAAACCTTTGTAGCCACATATACCACAGATGATGTCTGATCCTTCTGGAAATGTCGCTTCTTATAACCTCAACACATCTGAGACTCTGTGCCTGCCGTCATCGCCGCCTGCACCCTCTCCTTCCTTCATCTCCGAGCACGTTTGGAGGTCTTCCATGCTCATTTAGGAGATTCAATCAGAGTCTGAGAGAAGCCAAGTCAATTCACAAGACTCTCTGGACTCAGAAATGCCAATGTGCAGGGCCAAGAAAATAGCTGTAAAACCTTTACACACCGTTTCTTTTTTCTTCACAACAACACACAAATCGTAGTCCTTCAGAGCTGTGGCAACATATTTAAACCCACATATTCAACCGTTGATCTCTTCCATATTCATACTTTCAAACTTGTCAGTGCTTTCCTGATGCACAATGTGCCAACTTTGATCCTGCAAATGTGAGCATGCATGCATACACAGCTGAAACATAAAGAAAACACAACAGCTGTGATCTAGAAAACAAACTTTGTAATCCTGTAAATTCCCAGTGGAAAGAGTTATGTAATTCAAAAGCAGTCTTCTCTCATTTACTGTCGGCTGACCTGCCAGAAGGATCTGCCTCATGATAGCATCAAAGTGTTTTGTCTTTTAGTGCTAATTTATGCCATGAATCTTGAATATGAACAAAGGAATTGGAAATTCCCTCATTTAAAGTTTAAAAAAAATCCTATGAGCATGAAAAAGCAGAAAATTGAGACCAAATATATGAATTTGGGATGATTCAGCATGTGATTAGTTGCAAACCAAGTCAGTGTTTTGATAAGCTTGGTTTTTAATGTGCAACATTCGGTTGAGGTGGGTGTGGGTGTGTGGCCCTGCCAGCCGAGCAGTAAATGATGGCGTCTCTGAGGCGTGCTCTGGGACTTTGGAGCAACACAAGAGTCACTGAGCCAAGAGCTGGGGCAGGGAAGGACCTGCTCCACTTTTCCTAACTCTCTCTCTCTCTATGCTCCCTAGAAAGAGCAGGGGCTTCAACTCCTCTGCTCAAATCCCAGCTGGCAAATGCTTTCGGTGAGGGGGTGGGAGGGGCATGAAACCAAGTGTCCAAGGTTTACATGAGCTGAGATGAGAAAATCAGGCTTCTTTAACTCCCTCTGGGATAACAGTGGAGGACCACGTCAACTTCCAAAAGGCGGGACCAGAATTGCAATGGAGTTTTCATCTGGGTTTCATTCAGAGTCAGCGAGCGTCGAGTTCATTTATGAGATGTTACAATTAACTGGTGTACAGTACTTTAGCTAAGCATCAAAGGCTCAGTTACAACAAATCAAAGAAATCATGCGCTATTTTTCTAATTTGAACGTAACAAATTCATTTGGTGTGTTGCCTCTGAAAATATTGTCATAGACAAAAGCAGAAAAATGAGTAGATTGCTTTTTTAAATGGAGCAATAAGCATTCACTTCAACTCCAAGGAAATGTGCTGTTTTCAATCATCCACATCCAAGCCTGCCACAACAAGGTGAAAACACACCCAGCAGTACATTCATCTTCATCACTAATGACTCAGTCTCACTGGAGTTTAAATAGAATGAGTAGGAAAACTCTATGGCTGGAAACTTGGTTGCTGCCCAGTGAACTGATTTAAAAAAAAAAAAACATTTGGAGCCTGCAACTGGTTGCAAGTAGTTTGGCAACCTGTCTCCAGCTCCAACTGACTGCAATCACCGTCAGACACATTGGTGAACATTTGAAAGGTGGACTCCAATCAACTGGTTATATCCTGGTTATATTGCTATATAAGATTCCTGAGCCCCTGTCTCATTATGCAGTGAAATCGTCATCCAACAGCAACTATGCCGATATTTGTGGAGCAACTTCTGACTTTCTCTTCAAAATCTATGAGGTTCTGGCTAAATGCATGCAGTTAATGTGAATTTATTTGTATGTAAAAGGCAACAGATTTTCTATTTTGGTTGATTTATCACACACAGATTGCATGTAATTGGCAACTTGGCCCCATTCACCCCTCAAAATGATTACAGACTGACTCTGTCTTATCACCATTTTATCACTCTTTATATAAGTTGCTATGAAGGAGGCAACTGACAGCAGGTAGTCACAGACCTGGTCCCTGTGTTTAAAGTAGCCATTTCAAAGATAGCAAGATAATAATAACAGTAATTTTGGTAATGCTGTGTAGCATAATATAACCTAACCTCAAGAGGTTAATGTAAGAAGTATCCTTTCAATCTCCAGTGACACAATAAATGCATGTTGTGGTTTTCCACTTCCACGGTGCATAAAAGCTGCACTCATAAAAACCGCAGAGTTAATTAGAGCCACGGTTGCCATGGTATACCTTGGTGCTCGCTACTCCGATCTCTGGCCCGGCGTTGATGTGGACGCCACAGTCAGTCTCCCTCGAGATGGAGCTGCCCACTGTGTTAGTGACGCCCACAGTCAGAGCCCCCCTCTCCTTACAGTAGCGCAGGGCCATGAGGCTGTCAGCGGTCTCCCCTGCGGGGTCGGCAGAAATGGAAAACACAACCCGTTTATGGAACGTAACAATTCACACAATAAAACTGATTTACTGACTTTTGCACCATAAACTAGTCTGATTTAAGACAGCTTTACAGAAAAAAATAATCCACAGGTTTCAAAAACTTTGACTCAGCATTTTGAAAAAGTTGAGCACATAGAAAGATAAATCAAGAAGAGCCCCCAAATAGAAAGTGGAATACAAATGGGGAATGTGCCACAGATCAAGTCCAGATGGCACTGGTCTCCACACCTGACTGGCTGATAAAGAAGCAGACATCGTCTCGGAAAACAGGCGTGTTCCTGTCCAGGAAGTCGCTGGCCAGCTCCACCATGACAGGCAGCTCGGTCAGCTCCTCCAGCACCTGGCGGGTCTGGGAAAAAAAACAACAGCATCGATTTGTGAAAACGTGCCAGCTGTGCACAGAGCGTAGAGTGTGGCAGGACACAGCTCATACCACAACACAGGTGTCATATTTCCTGTCATATTTTCCTCTTGGATTCAGTTTGATTATTTTTCTGACGGGACTTTGCACCAAAGAACAAAAGGTGGTTAAACAAAAGACTACTCACTGCTACTCCAGCATGATAGCTGGTGCCACAAGCAATGAGGATAAGTCGGCGACACCTCTGAATCTCTTTGATGTGATCCTTAAGTCCACCCAGTGTCACTGAAAAGCACAACAAACTGCTCAAAGACCACAAACACCCCACAGGAGAGATGGGACATTTTACACTTAAAAAATGTACTTATAGCTGTAAAACTTTTATAGGGCGTCCTTGATCCTTATTATAATGAACTAAAGGTAGTAGCACATGCAAAACTAAATTACTTGACGCTAAAGACTACAGTGAAAGCCAAAGATTGACATTTTTGAGGAATTGTCATTTCTTGTCTTGGTAAATATAATAATAAGGCAGTGCTCCAACCTGTGTTGTTGTCAAAGTTGACTCTCCCTCTCATGGTGTTAACAACAGACTCTGGCTGCTCAAAGATCTCCTTCTGCATGAAGGAGCTGTAGTTGCCTGTAAAATGAGGATCAGATATCACGGGAACATTTCCAGAATTAGTCAAAAAAAAGAAGAAGAAGAAAAGGTAAATACCAGTTAAGCACTCAGTGATAGACTTTTTATAAGCCCCATAAAACCCACATGAACTCAACCGAACGAGAGAGGTTTTGTTTACATGGATTAAGCGTCCGAGAATGCAAACCACAGCCTCCTGAAGGAGCAAAAACAAACGTCCTCACTGTGTTTTATTGACAATCAGGCCTTCCTGGAAATGAGAGTACTTATTGGGCAAACTTTCTTTCTCTATTAAGATATTTGCAGCCATAGCATGAGTCATGCCTCAAATGAAATAAAACTTACACAAAACATTAGGGAGATAATGTTTTCCTATCAATTAAAAACCGTGACGGTAAAGAAAATATATATATATATATATATATTCAAGTGCGTTTCAGCCTCCCTTTGAGAGCAATTTGGGTCATGCGAATTAGGTTATTCAGCAGAAGAAGAAAAAACTAGGAAATGAGAGGAGAGAGGCTGAGTAATGACAGGACCACAAAGGAATGTCGAGTTCAGCCAACACCGGCTCACCTCTGCCCTCTGCTGGACTGCTGAGGAAAAGTCAGTGAAAATGAAGAAAAAAAGAAAATATAGACAGTAACCATGAGATTTAATCTCCTTTTTTTTTAGCTGTGTTCATACTGAGCAAACTTCTTAGACTCATGTTCCTCATTTAAGGACACAGCAGCAGGATAGATGAAATACTTCAATTCCAAAAGTCCAATAACTGATTAAGTGCATGTAACAAGTTGATTCTTGGTGCAATTTTGCATGCAAAACAGACCTTATGCACATCGACTCCAAGTCCTAATCAGGGTCTGACAAATATAAAGTCAGTAAGGATTACCTAACAGCCCTGGGAAGCAATTTAATCCTGACTGATTATAGATTTGTCAGATTCTTACAGACCTGGAGTCGATATGCGTAAAGGTCTGTTTTGCATGAAAAACTGTCCCAAGAATAAACTTACATGATTGTGGGGTTTTTATTATGATTTTATACACGAAAAAAGGGAAAATAATGCAATAATAAAAATGTGTCCTAATTCCCATAAGTGAACGCTTTAACTTTGGTGACTTGGGAAAATAATTGTTTTTCTTTAACAACAATTAAACACTGAGAAATGCTTTTTATTGGGTGCATTTGTCTAAGCATTAGTAAGGGGAACTGTACTTTTTTTTAAAAAGCCACAAATTGCACATTGTTCTATACATAGGATATTAATGGCTTCACATTAAAGCTAAAATTTAAATGTTTTCCCCCTTTGTTTGAGTTCAAATCCTGGGGCTGGAGTAAAATGTTGAAAAAGAAGGAAACAGCTGTCTTACTACAAACCTAGCATAATATTTCAACTCGGGTCAAGAAGGGAAGATGGGAGTAATAACATCTTAAAGCAAAGTGGTTTGTTTTACCAACAGTGGTTTCTCTGGTGGTGCTGCTAATCTAGCAAGAGTGTAACGACTTGGATGATAACAAGAACAACCTCAGGGCAAACCGTTAAAAGCAAGCCAAACTATGTAAGCAGCTGGTCATCGATTATGACTTGCAGGATAATAACAGGATTTGAGACTAAATCAATGGCACAGTATAAATGATTTATTGACCATTAGTGTGGGAAAGGAATGCATGTTGTGAAGAGAATTCGTCCCTCCACTCACCCATCATGATCTGCTGTAGTTCCATCTGCAGGGTCTGGATGGCACGGGCTGGGTAGTCTCCAGCTGTGCGCTTTATCCTGTGAATCGACAGCCGGCCATCCATCACGGCGGCTACGTCGTCGTCCTCGAGGAAGATCACCCGGTTTGTGTGCTCGATCACCGCGCTGTCGTGGCAGATCAGAAACCACATCAAACGTTTGATTTTTGATACACGCATAAAGCAGGCATATAAAGAACATCGTTGTGCACTCTAACAGTATCTGCTTACCTCGCATCAGATGCAAAATAGTACTCCACTGCTTTTTCATCTACTGGAAACAGGCAGGTGTCCTGGTCTGTCCTGGGTAGGGTGCTGCAGCTCTTCTTGTCTTTAGTAGCTGGGATGTAAAAGAAAACAGGCCTCAGGCAATTTCATCCAGCCACATTTGGATACATTTGACTAGAAAGAGAAACTATAACTACATGAGCGGTAGAGCACAGGAATATGGTCGCTGGACAGCTTGTGATCACTGCGCACTCCAATCAGCAGAGGACCTCCCCTCCTGTATAAACCACAAGAAAATATTCATTTTAAACCACATCCTGATATTTTACCAGTATATGGTCTAAATGCATCGCAGAAAGGTTTCTTATACTGTCAGACTTCAAAATGTATTGTATACATTTTGACCCGTCTTAGACGTCACTTTAGGAGATTTAAGATCAGCCATCAGTGTGTGAGTTTACCTTGTACCAACCACCTCGCCGGGATAGTGGACACTCTTGAAGACCAGTGCAAAAGCTCCTTCCTGCAAGGCAGCAGGTCAAACAGGAAGTCAGATCTTTTTACTGTCTGATTGCTTTTGCATCTTTGGTGTACATTAGCAAGTCCTTACCAGCTGCTGAGTCACACGTTCAACCAGCGTGGCGAAACTGATGTCGTCGCTCTCCCGGTTGTCATACATGTACTTCACCAACTTGGCGATGCTCTCTGTGTCAGTCTCTGACTCGAACTCATAACCTTTGCTCTCCTACAGAAACGAGAAAATGATTTCGCTTTACAAATCGGAACAATGAAAACACATCAAGAAATATTAATGAAAAACATCTGCTCACCAGGAATTTCTTCAGGTCTTTGTAGTTGGTGATAATGCCATTGTGAATGACTATGAATTCTGCAAACCAAAGAGGACTGTCAGAAACTTAACACAGAATCAAACATTTAGCTGTTTCTGTACCAACTTGAAACATCACTCACCATTGTTTTTGTCAGATCTATGTGGATGACTGTTGACTGGGCTGGGCTCACCGTGAGTGGCCCAGCGAGTGTGGGCAATGCCACTGTGGACATCGAACTCCACATCCAGGTCAATATCCTGCTGTTCTATAAATCAAACAAACACACCCCCAAGACAGACGACATTAAATATGCGAATTGCACCACAGCGTGCAGGAAGGAAAATTGAGGATTCGGTCAACTATTAGTTCTCTCTAAACGAGCAACAATCTCAGCTTACTATGGATCTCCTCATCCAGGGCCTTCACTTTTCCACGCTGCTTGATCAGCTGGATAGATCTGGCGTTGACCTCCCAATCTTTGCTGTTGCCCCCATCAATTCCAACACCTAATGAAATTTTTAAAAAAGTTAGAAATAGCTGAATCATAAAGATGGCAAGGCCGTAGGTATTAGGTATAACGGTGGTATTACTATTATGTAAGTAAAGTCTTCTTTTTGGTCCAATGTCTGAGAAGAACTGAAAGAAAAAAAACTATTATTTAATCAGTATAAGGAAAAAATAATCATAGTGTAAATACAAGGTCAGACAGCAGATTCCTTGAAGAAGATTGCTGAAACTACCAAAATGGATGTGAGGGAAAGTACAAAGAAGTGGAAAACCAGAGGGATAAATATAACTGCCTCCACAGAAAACAAAAAACAAAACAAAAAAACAAAATAATAATAATAATAATGTAACATAAAACTGAGCAGAACAAAGAGCGAGGAACCAGGAGAAAAACAAAAATCCCAGCATCTGTTGGCACCGTATATAAAACACCGGGACACAACCACACATTAATCAACACGTAACCACACGCAAGCATAAATCAGGCACAAGTCATTAGTGTTGGCATGTATTACTGAAAAACAAAACATCAAGTGTGACTTTCAGGACAGTTGCTGCATTAATGTTACATTGGAGACCAACAAACTATTACAACATTTTGGCATTTCTTGAGTAACCTCTGAGGAGGTCTGAACACAAGAAAAACAAAACAAAACACAATTTAAAAAAAGGCAGAACTTGTTGGTGATGAGTCTCTCTTTTTCTTACCAGCTGAATCATAGCCTCTGTACTCCAGACGACGTAGACCTTTAAGGAGGATCTCAAGGATTTCACGGCGAGTCCTTGGCACGTGGTAGTTGAGATAGGCAAAGATTCCTTGGGGAAGGAGGGAATAATGTTTTAGAAAGCTTTTCTTTATAAAGAATTTGTGCTACCAAAAGGAGATTTTTTATTTATTTATTTGCAGTTGGAAGGGCAGATCACTTGAAATGCCTGTCAGACTAATACCCCTGTAACATTTGGGAGTGATGTTTAATTCATGTGGGTTTGGTAAAGGTTGGCTGAAGTCACTATTACAGTATTTAAAAGGTTTTTTCCGATGCCAAAGGACATCTCACAATCTGTATGCTGCATGGATTTATCCCATCAGCTGGTTTTTATTTTAAACAAGCTTTGGATTCATTTTGATTTAGAAATTGTTTTTAAAACAATTTTAAATCTTAAAACGAAACTATTTATGATGACAATGATTACGTAAAGGTGGCTGGTGAAACCACAGAGAACGTAATTGGACTCCTTCCTGGTGTAGCAGGCCAAGAATTACTGGGAGTTGTCGATCTGCTGCTATTCACATTCAGTGCCAGACAAACTAATGTAACACACGAGAAACAAGTCATACAGGCACTGGAAAACCTGATATAGTTATCTCTTGGAAGATAGACCTGTTTATAGACAATTAAGTATACATATATAGACCTGCCGTTTCCCTAAGATAACCTCTTGCATACGTAAAGCAGAGGTAGGGGAATTGTCAAAGGAATGAAAAAAATCAGACGCGAGATGTTTCTGTTTCCCATCTGTAAATCATTTTAAGATATTTACCTTGTCACTAAGACTTGAGATTTATTTGTGTGTGATTACTAACCCAAGTGAGAGACCATTACGATACAGAAACAGGCCAGTGTAAATCAAGATTTCAGCATTTTATTGGCAACCTCCATAAATAATGAGAATTTCCTCCCTAAAACATCTGTCATCCAGTCTAATAACAAATACACACAGAAAGGAGTGACACCATGAATGGCAAAAGGAGTGGGCATAAAGTGCAGCCCTGTTACAGGGCTAAACACTAACCAGTGGACATCCTGGCTCAACAGAGCATTCATTCAGAAAAGCAAGTGATGGGGGTGGACACTGAGGGGTAAAGAGAGACAAAAGGGACCCTTCTGCAAATAATCAGTGCTTAATGGTTAACCTAAGCAAAGTGGCACCTTACTGTGACAAGAGATATTGATAGCAAGGTGGCTTGGTTATGGAAGTGCTCTGATTGTGATAACAGTGAGAGAAAACAGATGTCAGGTATCAGTCATAGGACTGAGATAGATGGAGACGGCGGAAACAGGACAGGATTAGCATCAAACTGATTATGACCACTGGCGTCATATAGACAGTGAAAGACTGACGTTAATTCACAGCGATACACCAGTATTATATAGTACAATATTTGCTAAAGCCTTTGGCACTCTTTTAAAGGGTTGACTCAATTTGACTTAAAAAAAACATATTTGATTTTATGTTTTGTTTATCCTATTTGTATGTGTACAGCATTTTGTGGACACTGGTTTATATGTTAAAGTGCTTTATAAATAAAGGTGGTATGGTATGGTATTATCCCAAAGAACACAGGTCATCTAGTTACACTTTCATTTTTTTTATAATAACAACGAGCCTAACTCGTTTTCCAAGGTCTCTGTCACAGTCATCTAGATCCACAGACCACAGTAACAGACAGAGATTTAGCTACTGGAAACTTACTCGGCTGGTAATAACGTCGTAAAGCAGGTTAGCATTTTAATGTCGCACTCAAATATCGACTCTGCTGCTCGATCGTGTTATCCCACATCAAGCAGCTTTCAGGGTAAAACGGAAAAACACAGACCGGTTTATATTTAGCTGGCTAGCAACATCATGTTGGCCATACAAAACTCACTTTAGCCTCCCTTAGCTCATTTCCAGCATTTATCCTCAAACTAACATGGCAATAGCTGAATAACTATTCAGCTAGCTATTCTGGTGAAACGTGAACCACACACATTCAGCGCCTATTAGTATAAATATAGAATAAATGCACTACTCACCACACATGGCTACAGTTCTGCTGCCAGTTACAGCTACTCTGAAGTCGGTAGCTGGGAACGCCTGTCAATAAGCTCCGCCCCCGATGGTTCCTATGAATCATAGCCAACCGCGTTCTTCCATGGCGCCTTCTGATTGGTCGGGAGATCTGTCGATTCAGGTTGCGCCTACAGACGTACGCATTTCTGACGTGGCATCAGGATGCGATTCGCAGCCGGAACATCCTGCAGATCCTGCTGCTGCTAGAGTCAACATCGGCCCACAATGGAAGGCCTGTGCTTTCTACTGGCCGTGGAAGGAAAATATTGCTAAAAAGGCCCAAAAGCCTGTGTATGCTCTGGCGATTTTAGAATTACTGAGATACAACGTCCCTCAGTAGAAATCCACCAATGCTTTTTAAAATTTTTATATGCAAAATTGCCTTTTATGTTTTTTTGGTGATACATAGTTTAAATGGTCTATATAATTTTAGTGGAAAATACCCACTTTCTATTTTACCTTCTTTTGGTCGCTCTGTTCATGTGTCACCACCCTGGATCATCTGACCTTATTGATAGTATCCTCTTATGCCGCACCAACCCTCTGCATGTCCTCCTCTTGCCTGGCAGCTACATCTTCAACAACCTTTGTCCAGTATATCAACCATCCGTCCTCTTGTGTTTCAACTGCTCAACTCTAGCTGTCCCCCTGACGTACTCATTTGTAGTCCTGTCCATATTGGTCATTGTCAATGGAAATCTGAGCATCTTCAACTAGGCCACTAGTTGGAACACTTATGTACATAGCAGACAAATGGTCACAAAATATTATAACAAACTTTATTTATACACATATAATATACTGATTTTAAAACTAAAAGGCTGCTTTTCTTGCTTGACAGATGTGGAGTAATAAATTATTACAGTCAGCTGTTCCTGTGACTGGGCTATTCTTGTTAAATACTGTCACTGTACAAAAAACCCCCAAAAAAACAAACAGCTGAGAAACAACACATACAAGATTACATCTGAATTGATAATGGTGACTGTTTCTTTCACACAGCTGTGCTATCAAACACATTTTATTGCAACTATTGCTTGCATTAAAGTCAGTAGCTGGTAGAGACAGGAATGTGTATGATTTCAGTGGTTCAGACTTGAGCAGCCTCCTCCTCCTCCTTCACCTGGAAGACACGCATAAAAGCTCTTTACAGCTCAAGTGCTGAACATGAAATATAAATCAAGATGTCAGGATTAACATCTTAAAAATTAACAGTGTCCTAAAATCAAATGAGAGAAAGACAACAAACCTGTTCCACCGATTCAACCTCAGGTACATAAAACTGTAGCATGTTTTGGATGCCACTCTTCAAAGTCACAATTGAACTGGGGCAACTGGTGCAAGAGCCCTGCAGCTTCAGTTTAACAATGCCATCTTCAAATCCGCGGTATAGAACATCTCCCCCGTCCTCTTGCACAGTTGGCCTGACAGAGTGAGAACATTGACTTGTATTAGGCAAAAAACCCAAAAAGCATAGGAAGCAACAGGCCCTGAGGTCATAGTGCACCTTCATGAGTAGTTACCTTATTCGAGTCTCTAGTAGTTCTTTAATCATAGCAACTACCTCGTCGTCGTCGTCTGACGGTGCTGAAAGGAGAGGCAGAGATTGTTGTTCCTCAGCATTCAAAGCAGCTTGTTATTTCTGTCCAAGTTGATGTTTTAATAATGGGTAGACCACAGCTGTTTGAAAACCATACCTGTATCTGGGCTTGGCTGGCTGTCCTCGTTTACAACAGGAAGCCCGGAGGTAAAAAAGTCCATAATGGTAGCAAACACATCAGGCTTAATTACCTTCCATTCCAAATTTGGGTCAGCCTAAAAGAAGAAGGATGAGAAACCAACCTATTCTTAGTTGTGGTATGCCAAGCTGTGCCAGTGCCAATTCTTACAAACTGGGCATGGCTTTACCTTTGTGATGGTAATAAAGTCAGGGCCCAGGAACACACTCTTGACTCCATCGATCCTAAAAAGCTGCCTGAAGACAATCACTGAGGTTTTATTACGCCACACTTAAAGATTCATCTTACACTTAATACAGAAGGTTGTGCAATGATTGTAACAAATAAATACACACAT